GATATTTTTCTATAGGGTGCGTGCACTTGCCAGAAAGAGAGAGACAAAGGAACCGAAAGCAAGAAATCACCACCTGGGTGAGTAGCCATGCCACACTCCCTCCTCCTCTTGGGATTTTGAGCATACATGCACGCACGCACAAGTGCCCTGTGTTTTAAGCCACTGGGTCTGGGACTCGAACTATGGTGGAGTACATGGGAGTCCAGCAATGTAACCATTATGCCATCTGGGGGTCTTGTTTGCTACTCTTAGTAGAAGTTGTTCTTTTAAAACATTCACTGAAGGAGGTATTAGTCTAGGATTTGGAGTTTAACAAGTCGGGATTTATTTCTCGCTTTTCTCCTAATAGAGGCATGACTTTTGGCAAAATACCTGGCCTTTTAAATTCTCAGCTTCTTATTTATGAAGTGGAGATTATATAGCACTCTACATCTCATTTTTTTCCTCAGGATTAATTGAGCAAAAATATATAAAGCACTTTTATATACTGGCACACACTGAACTAGGGCACAAATGTCACTCATTTGTGCAAGACACACTCCCCCCCCCAGTTTCCTATAGTATGCATGTACTGACCAGGGAGAGACGAGAGAGAGAGAGAGAGAGAAATCATCCCCCATGGGGGATGGCCATGGTGCAACTCATACTCTATTCTCTTTTTAGGATTCTGGGCATGTATGCACAAACACCTGATGTATTTTTCAAGCCACTGAGTCTGGGACTCAAACCACACAGTCAACATGTGGGAACCAGTTGCCTTAACCTCCACGCCATCTGCTGGTCCTACACTTTTCTTTCTTCTACTCTAGGGTGGCTCAAAGCTCAGGATGGAAGGGAGAACCATCCTAGGGGACTCCAAAGGATGGTGCAGGAATTGAGAGGGCGGACCAGCCAGTGGCACAGCAATGCTGCAAGGCTGTGATGTGGACCCACGTGTGGGGGCCGGGATTGTGTCCTGAGGCCTCCCTGTGCATGCTGGTTGCACGTGTGCAAGCCCATTTGCATGTTTTGGGCTGGCTGAGGCTGGGGTTGGATTACACTATGAGGAGGCTGATGGGGGCCCTGCCTCTCTCTTTCTATGGAAAGACACTTAATAGAGAAACATTGAAGATAAAGGGTAGTGTTCCCTTTACTGTTTCTAATATATATGAATGTTGATTTTTTGGTTTTCAATGATCTTTTTCCTGAAATAACATTTTTCCCGTAGAAATTCACTTTTTCTTTGGAAACTATAGGCCCAGGGGACCAGCCATTATGTGGTGGTAAACATGACTGAATCCACCAGGGCCAACTCCACGGTTTGAGTCCCAGACCCAGTGGCTTGAGAAACACTCCTGGCATGTGTGTGTAGGTGCTCAAAATCCTGAGCAAAGAACGGAGGAGGGGCCAGCAGTTGGTGTAATAGCTATGTTGCTGGACTCCAATGTAGTCGACCATGGTTCAAGTCCCGGACCCGGTGGCTTAAACTCATGTCAGGAGCATGTGCATGCATGCCCAAGATCCCGAGAGGAAAATGGGGGAGAAGACTGTGGCGTGGCCATCCCCCCAGGAGGTGATTTCTTGCTTTCTGTCTCTCTGTCTCTGTCTTTCTGGCGAGTGCAAGTGCCCTATAGCAAAAACCTCTCCAAAATAAATAAATAAATAAAGCAAGATAAAATAAGATAAAAAAGAAAGGAGAAGAAGGAATTGTGGTCATTCCTCCCCTCCCTCCCAGGAGTGGTTGAATTTTACTTTCCCTTTCTCTCTCTGTCTCCCCAATAGGTGTGTGCACCCTATAGTAAATGAAAACAAAACCCCAAATCCTCTATAGGTCTACAATGGATAGGAAATCTTTCACCACACTACCAGAGAAGCTACTCCAGAGTTGTCCATAGCACTGAAGTCCATCAATATTCTGATCTGAACACTCTTTGAGGAAATTCTTTAGACTGAACTTTATTTCTGAGAACATGCCAAACTAATAGTTTATATAATAAAATAACACTAGTTGTATCTGGGAGCGTTAGGCTTACAGGGCATGATTACATTTTTATACTACACAACCATTAATTGTGTAGTGTCTACATTTAAAATTTTTGCTATGAACATATATTTTGTAATAAAAGAGAAATGTATGTGTTATTTATTTTTGAGAGAGAGTTTTTAAATAATTATTTTATTTAACTTTATTTATTTTATTTTAATTTGACCAGAGAAGGACAGAGTGAGAAAGAGAGAGAAAGAGAGAGAAAGTGAGAAAGCAAGCTGCTAGGTCCAGGACTCAAAACTGCAGTCGCCATGTGGGAGTCCAGCACCCTTAACCACCATGCCATCTGCGGGCCCCGAGAGAGATTTATGCTATAGGGGTGCATGTGCTTGCAAGAAAGACTGAGAGAGAGAGAAAACGAGAAATCACCACCACCCCCCACCCCCCCGGAGCAGATGGCCATGCCATAATCCCTTCTCCTCCATTCACCTTTCAGGATTTTGGGCACGCATGCACATGCGCCTGGCATGAGTTTTAAAACACTGGGTGTAGGACTTGAACCATGGTCAACTACGTGTGAGTACAGTGCCTTAACCACTAGCCCACCTGCTGGCCCCAAGAGATGTTGAATTATTCACCTTTGTCACTTTTTGGATTTTAATAAAAGCACCAATGTGGTTGAGAGATGCTTTTTGAAAAAGGGAAAAGGCATGAAGCAAGCTTGATGTTCCCGTTTCTATACCTTCTTTTCCTATTAGGGATTCAGATTCTATCTGCCCTTTCAAGCCATCCTTGCAATTCTGAGCCTACCATTTCTTGAACTGGAAACATTATTTTTATATATGGTACAGAAATAACATTCAGGTCTCCCTATGTTTCATTTCCCACTCCCTTCTCCTCAGTGTGCAGGATAAAAAGATGTCAGATGAGGGAACCAGCAGTTGGCGTAATGGCTATGTCGCTGGACTCCCACGTAGTCGACCGCGGTTCGCATCCCGGACCCGGTGGCTTAAAACTCACGCTGGGCGCGTGTTTGTGTGTGCCCAAGATCCCAAGAGGAGAATGGAGGAGAAGGGATTGCGGCGTGACCATCCCCCCTGGGGGTGATTTCTCGCTTTCTGTCTCTCTGTCTCTGTCTGTCTGGCGAGTGCATGCGCCCTACAGCAAAAACCTCTCAAAAAAAAAAAAAAATAAAGATGTCCGATGAAATATTTTCGTGCATGTAAAAGACCTGTGTGCCAGTCTGTGAAACTAGGATGAATTACTAGTTACAAATGAACGACATTCCCAAGATCAGGAAACCTAAAAGCTCTCATTAGTTACCCTCAATGAGGCAATAAACTACCGTATCTCATCAATTCTAAGATGACTTTAATGTAGGACACAGCATTATTTAATGTATCACCAAGGGAAAAAAAGGCAAAACGACACTGCCAATTCACATCAGACATGTCATCATCCAGAAGGTGAACCCTGTTTTCAGATGTCAGTATGAAAAAATATGCCCGTTGGAATCCGTAAAATGCGGCAACACTGTAACTAAACACATGAAATCTTGTCCAACGTGATTACTTGAAGTAAAGAACTTCAACAAACTGCTTCATAGCAGCCCTACGCATAAAAAGGAAGACTACGTAAACGTTGTCAGTAGCACACTTTTTGTTTATTGACCTACGTAAAAAAATAATAGGTCTTAAAAAGTCAGAACAATAAAAGAATATGCAAAAGGGTATTTCTGTTTCTAGAAGGCTATACAAATATGCAAAAAGGAATAAGTTATTATTATTTTTTTTTGCTTGTCATTTTCCGCCCCAAACTTCATTTCTAATGATACAAATGACTAAGGACCAGTTTAACAAATCATTTTTATGCATATATTACATGCTTTGGAATATAGATAGAAAATGTTCCAAAAAAGTTGTTCAGAAACTTCTCTATTCACAATATGAACAAGAAACTTGTATAAAAGAGGGGGAAGGGAGCACCTTTCATGGAATTTTGAAATAGAGTAAAGATGACAAAAACGATCAGTCTGGAAGATGGAAATCATTTGTTCTAAAAAAACAAACAAAACCCTATAATAAACCATAGTTAATTAGTTCTTCCAAGGAAAGGATGAGGTCGTTTTAGCCTCATAATTAAATCTACTGCAGCCTGGAGTATTTTTTTTTTAATGTTAATTTTGTTCTTGTCATTTAGTGATTTAGAATTCTTTGTGAAACCCAGACCGAATGTTTAATTTTCTAATCTTCACCATTTTAAGGCACACAAGTCATACAAAATGATGTGGCTTTGTTTTTCGTTGGTGTTGTTTTGGGTCCCTTCTGTATCACCTTAAAATACTTTTCAAACTCATGAAGACGCAACTTTCCATAGCAAGTCTGCCATTGCAAATGACAGGCAAGTTGGAAAGTTGCCAACCTGAAGAGCAGCTCATTGGGCAATTGGTGGAGATAGAAAAAAAAAAAAAAAAAAAAAAAAAGCTCACGCATCTTGTGC